GAGAATGACAACATTTTGGTTTTTTTTTAAATTAAAAAGTGAGGACGACGTTAGTAAGTTGTTCAGCTATGGAACCCCAAAAAACAGACGTCTTCCAATAAAATTCTGCAATGCAGCCATTATGTAATGAAATTTTTTTTAAAAAATATAGTTTGCATATCAATACTCATGGAATAAAACGTACTTTACAGATTTTTAATTTGTCATTTCATTGAGCCAAAAAAAATTCCTAAAATATGCCTAATTTTTGTGATTTCCCCCATTAACATGTTTGCAACTACTACAAAAGCAAACTTTAAAAAGAATATGTATATTTTTTGTTTATTTTAGTGAATAATAAATTGAAAAATCATTATACAAACCCAGGCGCAAAATTTTTTCGTTTTTTTGTTGAGCTGTGTAATATAAGGGAGCATTCACAAATGATATCACGCTTTTGGGGGTAGGGGGGGGGGTCTCTACTAAACGTGACACAATGTATTTTTCTCATGTGAAATTGCAAAAATTTCCTGACAGGGGGAGGGGGGGTCTAAAATCTCAAAAAACTGCGTGACATCATTGGTGAACGCTCCCTAATAATAATAATAAAATAATTTTTTGGAATGCTTCAAAAACTTCATTGTGTACTTTACTTAATTAATAAATTATTTAATAATTATTAGTTATACAATAATAATGAAAAAAAATTAGAATATTTTTTCCCTGTTGGAGAAAACAATTTTTTTCACAATGCTTCAAAAAGTTATATAGTTATCTACTTTAAACCAAAATTAATTTAACAATTTTTGGGTTGTGATTTACGATTTTCTTTGTTCCGACTCATTATAGGTATTGTTATCACTTTAACGGAAGATTCTCCCCTCCGACAGTCCACTAAATACTACTGAGTATCTGAGAAGTATAAATATATGAAAAACCCTTTCATAACTACTACGTTAATTTCAAGTAGGCAAAAAACTTACATTCTTCTTTTCAAACATAACTTATTTTTAAATAAAATTTAAAAAATAATGAGTCTCCTTCTAAAAGTTTCAACTAATAAACTGCAAATTAGTTTCAAAATCACATACATAAAAGATAAATAAAGTAGGGTTAGGATAAAACTTTTGTGGAATTTTAACTGTATTAAATGTATATATATATGAGGCATTATTCCTGAACTGCCCCAAAAATAAAAAAAAGTTCTTGGATTTCCTTTATACTTTGGAAATATGTTACCCTAGTAGGTACAAGTTACTACACCAATTTACAGGTCCAACCCCCCACCCCAATCAAAAGGGTGGGGGGTTGAAATTTCAGCTTCAACTCGAACATGCATTCTTTAAACATTTGTAGTTTCTACTTAAATTATTCAATTAAAAAAAGTAAGTAGTGTTTTAGAAAGGTTTTTTTGTGTACTTTTAAAATATTTTATTTATATAATAAAAAAAAAATTTTTTAAATAAATAGTTTTTTGCAATTTTGTGCAAGTTCGGTAGTTTTTATTTTCTTTTTAATAATCTCAAATGAAAGCTTGAAAATTCCCCTAAAAGAAGATATAAGTCTGAAAATGGGCCGAAACAATTTGCCAAAGATATAGTGTAATAAGTAAAATTTGTCCGTCCGCTCGCGCACTCCAGCGCGATGAACAGGGGGATTTTTTTTCAACTTATACTATTGAAAATTGTCTAGAAACTACAAATTTTATGGGATGTTGATGTTCTTGATTTAAAATTACTAAGAGATCCATCAAAGTCGATTTTTGAATTTTGAATTGTTTATTTTTTTCTTGTTACTCAAAAATTTGACAAATTACAATATTTTTAGAAAAAATCATGTTAGTTTTTTTATTTTTCCATTACACATGATCGAAATCAATTTAAATTAGTCTAGTATGACCACCGGACAATTAATTCCCATTTCATTAAGGAGTTCTTTTTTATGATAGTAAATATAAAAAAAAGGAAAAAATTTTGTTTGATGAAAAAAGCTACTTATTTGTTTAAAAATGAAAAGTTTGTTTATAACAAATGTAATTGTTTAAGCTAATAAATTTTTTAAGTTTTTGAAAGAATGTACATATGATATAAATATTTAAAGTTTAAAAAATGACGAAAATGTTTACAAATACAAAAGGAAGTTGATTATTGTTTATATAATTGTTAATATTAATGATAATTTTTAACTGTAAAATAGTTTTTTACTAAATTAGACATAAATTTAAACTTGTCTGCAAAAAAACCATTTTTTTATGAAGAAGGTCCGAAGTAATCTATTTGTTAATTAACATTGTTTGCAACAATTTAAATAAATTGTATTATGCTTTATTAATTGTTTATTTATTATATTAATTGTTTATTAATTGCTTTAATTAATTATTTCCAAGAACTTTTTTTATTTTTGGGGCAGTTCAGGAATAATGCCTCATATGTAAACTACCCTTTAAATGAAACAATCAAAACTTCGGCATTGACTGGAACAGCTAGTCCTTTCTTAAAAAAGACATGGAGTGGAAAGGTCGAATGTATCGAAAAGTATCGAAGTAAAGAATGGGCAATGAGAATGTAAATCTTAATAGAAGGGTGTTTTTAAAATTGTTTGTACATGTGAAGGTGGCGCTGCAGTCGTATGTTATTTAAAAAGAGCGCGAATATATAAATTTTATTTTTGTTAAGAGAAAGTACTCATAATAAATCTTATTTTGCATTGTCAAAAAAACGTCAACATTTCAAATATAAACAAGCAAATTATTAACTGAAAGAATTTGAATATTATTATTAATGAAATAATGGACTTGGACAATAGACATATAAAAACTAGCACCGTAGACGGCCGCTTGCGGCCGTCGGAGGAGCTAGTCGAATAAAACTTTTAGTGTTTTCGTCCATTTATATAAAGCGAAAACAATTCACGAAAACGCAATGTCAAAGACGCCTTCACGACAAGAACCATGTGACATCCATTAGTTTCTGTACACAGCGCTTGCGCGTCACGTGACTGACCCGGTATACTTGCGAATTGGATACTTTATCCAACACGTTGGATAAAATAACCAGTTATATTGATGGAATATCCAACTACAGATTAAAATTTTTAAATGTTGTAGTGACCATCCCAGTTAGCTGATCAAACATTTTTGATAGATAATGCAACTAATTTTATTTTATCCAGTAAAAATTGTATACATTATCCAACCATTTTTCTCCGTGTGGGGCTTCAGCAAGGACCTAAATAGATTTCTATTTATGATATTTAAATTTAATTTTTTTTAATCGATGTTCTATAACTTATTTTTTCGATTAGCTTTTAATTTCTTTTTTAAAGAAAATTATTTTTCACAGCAAAAGGTAATCTAAATATAAAAGCGTTAAGATTCGCAAAATGAATTTAAAAATAGTAAAAAATTTGCATTGCATTCAGAATACTATACTCAAGCTGACTTGGCACATTATAAAAGGCACTGACCACTGTGAATAAAAATTTTATTGTTATACACTTGAGATAAATCTTCTTGTCCATTTCGCAAAATATTTTCAAAATCTGCAATTTATATATTAGTACATAAAATTTATATTTATAATTATAGGTGCACCGAAAAAATTCTCGATGGTATTATTACCTATGACTCTATAGTTAATCTTAATCTAGTAAAAGTAATAAGGATTCCTAATCATTATGGTTAGGATCGCTAGGTTGATTCAACAAATTCAAGCCTGGCAAAAACAACCCTCCAAATCCTAGTCAAATAGACTAGGATTTTAGTAATTTTGCCTATTAGGTTTCAATATAAATCGTCGAAATTTTTACGCACGTGGTGACAACATTTTTACTATTTTAATCGCGCAGTGTGTTTGAAAATTTACCTTTGCAATAATTTGTGTATTTAAATTTATTTTCATTTGAATGTCATAAATAATTAAAAATAAATAGTTTTTGACAAGTGTATAAAACTGTGTACTCGAAATGTATAAAACATCATTTGATTAAGTATTGTATTTTGACTCGAAAATCTAGTGTCTATTAAAAAATTAAAATACCAAGTCGTGTTTAGTGTAGTGGTTATCGTTCCGGGTTTCAAAGTGAGTATTCGTTAGGTTCAGGTGTTCGCGTCCCCCCTGCGTCAAATATTTATTTCATAAGTTTAAATTAATTCTAAGGTATATAAATACAAAGTCAAATATAAATATGTTCAAATACAATAATTAATTTTTTTCTTTTTTCTTTTAATTAGTTTTTCTCTTTTATTTGATAATAAGAATTTGATTAGCAATTTCAAATAATTATGATACACAGTGTAAATCTAATATTATTCTCCTAGTCAATTTGACTATTTTTTCCTGATTACATCGACTAATTTTCCTGGTCACTTTAACTATATGCTTGAATCTTATTACTTTCACCAGGATTCTATAGTTGGCTCCTCTCGTAACTAGGAAACCTAGTCAATTCCTGGTATACGGGTCCTAGGCATTTTTTTCGGTGTGGTCATAAATTATTTCATTTTAGTATAGAAATTAATTACGTGGAATTATTTATATTAGTATATTTAGTTCATTTATATTTTTGCTGTTTAACAAATTAATACTTTAATATTAAAAATTAGTTTTTGAAAAAATTTATACCAATAAAATTGGAAACTATAATAATAATTCATAATTATATAAGTTTTACCAGTTTTTGTTAAAGTCCACTCCTAATGTTATTGTTATGACATTTTTTAACTCGATGAATTAGGCAAAATTTGTACATTTTATTTTAAAATAAATTGATGTATGAAGTAGGACTACAAAAAAGGTTTAACCAGTTTTTTTTTTGGTTGCTATCAAGCCGGTAATTAGAATTTTAAATAGGACAAACCGGAAGGTATTTTTTAATTAACTTATTATTGAAAAAAGTTATTTAACAGGAAAAATTAAATATCAAATGAAGAAAATGAAGAAAGTCGATCATTTTTTTTTTCGTTGAATATTAACGATAATTATCAGCTCTATTACTGAAAAACAAAATCTACTATTACTCACTATTATTTTCGCTATCATCCGTAGATTTTTCTTCGGTATCTGTGAGCACCTCATAATCTCCAAGATCAAAATCAATGGAAGCGGCGGACGTCGCGACGCTGAGGGTCGTCAACGTCGCCAAAACGAACAACTCCCGTGGCAGCATGGTAAGTCTGCGCTTCACTATTATAATACTAGAAAATCCCAATGTCAGGGTCTTGCTTGCTGCATTCGCTTCTTGCCAACCGCAATGACGGCAAGATTTTCAACAAAAATTTATCAAATTCAAAGAAAAGAACCACTTATTGCTCGTTCCACCAACAAAACAATTCACAAAATAAATAGAATTTAACTATTTATCTTTTTTCCGTTTTGAAAATTGTTAACTAGATTGCAATTTTTTTCCAAATAAAAATCGAATCTTTTTGGAAAATAATTTAACTTTACTGCAATTATTTTCTAAATGTCACTTTTGAATAGTGATTTTGAAATTGTATTTCAAGCATTTATTTGCATGGGTAAATTGATAAAAAAATCTTAGAATATAAGTTCGATTAATACAAACTGGAAAAAAGGATTATTTTGGAGTAATATAGTTAAGTTTCACCGATTAATTTAATACACACGCGTTTATTGTCATTTTTGTTCGAAAAAATTGTATTTTTGTCAAAAAGAAAAATCCACGCGGCAATATCAAATTGTCAATTTGAAATTATTCCCGGTGGTAACGGACATAGACGTCCTCTTTAGCTGAACGCTTTGAACAGACTAACTTTGAAACTTGAGGTTGAGTTCGACTGACTCACTCTCGTTTGAAAAACGCTACCGCTTCGAAACAGCCGGACGAACTAATGCACAGTGAAAAATGTACACTAACACTCTCGTTCCTCGCACACTTGAAATTTCTACAACACAGATACAGTGGCGCAAAACACACGTTGAGATAAAGAGAGCGGCCGCCCGCTCTCCAAGTCGAGGAAGAATACCCCGCTGATAGTTTTTAAACTGGCGCGCGGCAAGTCTTTCGAAAATGTGTGAGTGAGTATTTGTATATATGTATAGGAGAGAGGAAGAAAGAGAAAAGAAAGATAAAATGACCGCGTGAGGGAAAGAGAGAGGTGGAGGGAGAGGGAAAAGAGCAGTGGCGCCTGAGGCATAGACGCCAGTTTTATGCACGGTTGGTTCATGTTTGTGTGTGTGCAGTAAACACAGAGACCGCGTGCTCCGAATGTTGGTGTTAGTCTCATGCATACGATGTGCGTGAGAGCCAGTGAGAACACACCGGTCTCTCTCTCCCTGCAAACCATCAACTCCCGACAGCCGGCTGTTTTTACCTTTTTTCCAATTTATTTATTTTATATCATTATGTACATATACATCAACTTTATCCTCTTTTTCAAAAAAATATTTTCAATATCCGTTTTAGAAAGAAATTTTTGTTTGAAAAATTTTAGAAGAGGGATTTTTATAAAACTGTCTGGATCCTAACTGAAAACCTTTATTTAAAATAGGCCAAAGGGGGTTCATTTCTGCACGCGAGTTTCTTTTATTTTCTGTGCAGAAATTGGGCCGATTTGGCTTTGTGTAGAGTAGGCGTTTAACAAGAGCTTTGTCAGAAACAAAGCTTAAGAAACAAAAACAACGGTACCGATTAAAGCCCTATTTCGAATTCTGCAGTTTAGGAATACTTTTGGGCAGAAATTGCTGCAGTTTATCATATTTATAACAGAATTTAAATAAGGGACTTCGTAGAAACGATGAAAACTAGTTTGACCCCTTCTAGAGCCCTAAGGGACCAAACACATAATACGTTACGCGATTTTTGACTATTTTCTACCCCCGCTCCCTCCTCCATATATGTCACACAATGTCCTATACATTAGCGCCATTTTTTCTATAGGTCGTCAAAAATGTATTGACCCCCCTCCCCCCGTTCGCGTGACGTATTATGTCAGGGATCAGAGTTCGTCCCCTTTTTCCCTTAAATAAAACTAAATCCCCTTAATTCACACAGGAAAAAAGAAGTGTTATTATAACACTAAAAGTATAGTGTTAAAACTACACGCAACATTTTTAACCGACACTGTGTGATTTTAACACTACATTGGTGTTAAAATAACAATAGAGTGTGTTAAATTAACACTGGAGGGTGTTAAATCAATATACATTTTAAATTGGGTTAAAATAACACCAAAATTGTGTTAAAACAACACCATCTGAAAACTACACGCAACACATTTAACACTTATTTTTTTCTGTGCAAATATTTTCTCCCCTATTCCCCTTTTTTCAGTAAATTTTTTTTTTTGAAAGTATTTTTATGATTTAATAATTTTTTTGAAAAGATTTTACAGGGTGTTCAGCGTTCAGAAAAGTCAGGGACATTTTTATAAATTTAATAAGAAAGTTAAAATTTTTTGTGAATTTAAAAATTTTGTAATCTAACAAGACTAAATTGGTTTTTATTACTATTTGTTACTCTAATTCGATATTAATTTGTCGCTCACCCTAAAAAAAGTAATCTTGATTTAATGCGGAATCCTCTAAACTATGAATGCATATTTTCCTCTTATAAATATGGTATCAAAATTAATACTCTTCACTTTAGAGGCTCTCTAAATCTGAATAAGTGAAATTTTCACTTTTTTCATGTGTGAACCTTTTTCTCACTTATTAATAAGTAGAATCTACTTATACATAAGTGAAATATTCACTTTTTTATGTGTGAACTTGACTTCACTTATTAATAAGTGAAATCCCCACTTATGTATAAGTGAAATATTTAGTTAAAAAGAAATTCATCTGCGCATTATATTACAATTTATTATTTATACCAACTTTTAAATGTTTAAAAACAATGTTTTTATCATTTTAGTTAATATATTAGAAATTTTTTATTTTATTTAATTATAAAAATTGTCATTTAAAATTTAATAAATTTTTTAAAAAATATTCAGTTAAATATTATATTAACAGTAATCTAATAACTAACTTTTTATTTACTAAGTATTTATATACATATATAATAAGAGAAATCTTAAACAAAACGTTAAAGTAGAACACAATAAACTAACTCTTTATAAGTACTAGCTCCTCCGACGGCCGCAAGCGGCCGTCTACGGTGCTAGTTTTTAATTTTTTATATGTCCATTGTCCAAGTCCATTATTTCATTAATAATAATATTCAAATTTTTTCAGTTAATAATTTGCTTATTTATATTTGAAATGTTGACGTTTTTTTTGACAATGCAAAATAAGATTTATTATGAGTACTTTCTCTTAACAAAAATAAAATTTATATATTCGCGCTCTTTTTAAATAACATACGACTGCAGCGCCACCTTCACATGTACAAACAATTTTAAAAACACCCTTCTATTAAGATTTTACATTCTCATTGCCCATTCTTTACTTCGATACTTTTCGATACATTCGACCTTTCCATTCCATGTCTTTTTTAAGAAAGGATCACCCAATAATTTTCTATGAGTATAAGGCAACTTATTAAGTGGCATTGTACACGGAAAAAAAAAGTTCACGAATCTCTCGTGAACTAGGTATATCACTTTTGGATGGGACACAAAATTCTTGAAAATCAACAAACACAGTTCGTCAAAATTTCATCAACTCCTTCACTAGAAACATAGTACGGTTTCCGAACTTTTCGTCAAAGTTAACGAAAAATTCGTGAACTTTTAAAAAATGCTAAAAACAAGAAAAAATAATTTCCAGACACTACTTTTTTATAGTATTTCACTTTATTTGATAACTTGACGCCTATTACGCATCCAACTACACAGAATACACAATTTTATCGCCATTAAAATTTGTAATTCGCTTCACGGGATTCGAACCTAGTACCTATACCCTATAACATAATATTTCTAACAACTAACCGCCACGGCTAAATCTAGATACACTGTCCTTCGACAAACGAAACGAATAGCTTTGTCTGCTGTAAAACTCAGGACCGTGCAAAGTAGAAAAAGTCCCTTATCGTAACTTTTAATTCATTTTATGAATTATTTGTTTCACAAAGGAAATTAGCAAACAAAAATATTCACTAAGTAATAAAAAACACTGATTCTAAATAATAACTTTCATCAAAGAATTTTCCCGAATGTAAACACCGATGACACCGACTGAATGATGAATGCTTGATCAGCCATATTTGATGCGCATTACGAACTGCGCATACTACTGACACTCGCGAGTTCACGATTTTTTCGTGAACTTGTACCTCTACTTTTGACGAACTACTCTTCATTAACAGTTCATCAAAAATTCATTAACTTTGTTTCAGTTTTTCGTTGACGTTCGCCATTTCTAATCAAAAGTGAATGAAAATTTTGAAATTTTGTGTCCCATCCAAAAGTGATATACTAATTCACGAGAGATTCGTGAACTTTTTTTTCCGTGTAGTGTTTCTCGTTGATCATCAAAGTTAAGCGACATTGCTTGCGGTTAATATTAGGATGGGTGACCGTTTGGGAATTTAGCTTAAAAAAGTTGAAAAATTGATATGTTTATAAGTTTCAGACTGATAATGAGAAGAGAAGAGAGTGTTAAATAGTTGATAGTAAATAAATATTTTTTTTATATAATATTGATCCTGATTATTTATTTACATTCACTTCTTAATGTCTGAGTATTCACTTATCTCATAATTGAATATTCACTTATTCATAAGTGAATGTAATTCACTTATTCATAAGTGAATATAATTCTCTTATTTCATGTGTGAACATTCACTTATTCTACGTGGAAGAGTTTTGAAACATGGAATAAGTAAATATTCACTTAAAATAAGTGAAATTTCACTTATTCAGATTTAGAGAGGGATTTTTCTCTCGGATATTATTTGCAAATTGTGGTTATGAACTGATGAAGAAAAGTTAATTTTATGCACTAAATTTAATGTTTTTAATTAAATAATTATATTTAATAACTAAAAGTTAATTACTTACATTATTTAATATATTTATTCCTTCATTTATTTCCTTTAAATATTCAATGTTTTTGACAAATGTCAATAATAAAACAATTAATTAATTAATAATAAAAGTAATATATACATTCAAGTCGAATAGTTTTGTTTTGAGAGGAAAACATTAAGAGAATATTAGAAGAGGATTTTTCCTCTAGGTATGAGATTACTTTTTGCTTATATTTTATTAACCATATTATAGTCGAAGAAGAAATAAGGAAGGAAAAAGTCAGGGAATCTTTTTCTCAATCCTTGTTGGATACCTTGATTTTATTTTTGTAAAATGTTTAAATAGCGTGCAACAAAAAACAAACCTTAGAAAACTCCATATTCCCAGGCGGAAAAGTCGGACGAATACCGGATCGTCCAACCGTCTAGCGCCCGCGCCGGTTGAATTGGAGAGTCAATGCCAGTGCAGGCAGTCTGTACCGATTCGGATGAGAATTTCTGCTGGCGCGGTACAAAGTCGGATCCGACTTTCGGTACAGTCTTTCTACTGTCGGCAGTACAGGCGCGGTACAAGATTTGATCCGACCGCCGGATCAAAATTTATACCACCTCGCAACCGGCGTTGTACTGGCATTCGTCCGTCTAACGACCCGAGCGGTACAGGCATTCTACCGACTGAGGACTATATAATTTATCTTATTATTAATATATTAATTAATTTAATTTACTTACTTATTTATTGATTTATTATAAATAAATTATAAGTAATATTAAATAAATTTGATTGGATTTATTTATTTATTTTTTTTATTGTTCTTCATGTATACCCTATTTGGGTTTTTTTTACATATACGACAACCCCTAAATATTCTCCAATTTTCCCCAGATTCCCAATACCCCCTATTTGCGGTCCGTAGCCGGCTTTTATTAGAAGTACTCGTATTCACATGGCCCTCTCTAGCCATAGTCAAGGGAAACTACGGAAAACCTTAACTGAGTACAGCCGATTTATCGACGCCGAGTCTTGGATGTATAAATTCGAAGTCTCGAATATTA